ATTTCTTATAGAAAAAAAACTATCACCTAAGTACCTAACAACTGGAAGTTGGTACTGTTTATAGTGTGGTACACATCCCCTATAATCTTAGCCTATGTTTGATTCTTCTAAATTGAACGGTACTGTTCCGACAACCTACTGGTATTTATTCTGCTAACTAATTTAGACCACCAAGCAATTGTGCTACGTGTTTACCAATTTGTGAAAATTGAGGGATTATGAAGAATTGCCTTTTGAGAAATGCATCTACATGTGCTGCTTGTTGCATCCATTTTTTTTTTTGCATTGATCTGGGCACCTATGGAAGAAAAAAGCCTCTGTGTGCATGACCATAGTGGATTTCTTACTAGCTTTTTGTTGGTCGCTCTTTAGGAGTTGGCTTGTCTGCTTTGTCAATTTATGAAATTACTTTCCATTTCTAAATAATATTTATAACCATAGGTGAATGACAGCAATGAAGCAATACAGAAAAAAAAAGTGATGAGACTTCCATTAACAACACTTGTTCCTCTAAATTTGAAGAGATTAGGTGACCGCTAATATCACCTCTTTCTTTTTGTTTCAATTTTGCAGCCTAATGAGCTAAAGGGAGGAACTTTATTCCCTTTTGTTGGTTTAGAAGTGTGAATTAAGTAGGATGAACTTTATTGTTTTGTCTCGAACAAGGATTAGCTTTAGTTTCTTCTTTGTGAAAAGGTGAATTCAAATTCAAACTTTAATTCTCTTGCAGAAGCATATCTAGACATTATTTTAGAAATGTTGCCTACCTGCCAATAAAGTTATTCTATGTCATATAACATATGTTTTCCTTACTAAAATAAAGATACATTGCGATTTTTTTTCTCTTGGATTGTTCAGATGGATGGAAACTGTGGTTTGCCTTGCCACCAGTTTTGTCCCATCAAATGTTACATTGACTGTTGTGTTCCTCACACGAAATCCGAGTTGTACAGATGTAGGCAATTTTCAGTTTGTTTGTTCCAAGCTTCATTTTATATAACACAGAAAGGCTGTAAGATTAATTGATTGCTCTCCTTTGATAGATAAAAAAAATCTTTTATTGATTTCTAATCTTTATGCATGGAGGAACTATGTAATACCAATACCAATCACTCCAGTGCCTATGCGACCCGGCATCGAAAGTGGTGACTTGCAGTCGACCACCATTTGCAGCTCAAGGTACCACCTGTGCCTCTCCCCTATAAGTTATCTTGCCTTGCAAGAATGTGTTCCTGACCCAAAGGTAGCATATGCTATTTTCTAGACAATTTGTCATCAAACAGTTTAGATTCGTTGAACTGTTTGATGAAATGTTAGTATAGTGTGTTCCACTGTTTTCAGTTACATTTAAATTGTTGCTACGTGCTCGAAACCAATTTTTCTTAATATAAGTTTGCTAAGTTCTTTCGTTGTTTCAAAATTGAGCTGCAGTTGTAAAGTAGTTCAACCGAGGAATCCAGGTATATGTTAAGCCTTGGTTAGTAATTTTAAAGTTTGTACGGATGTCCTTCAACACATGCTACAAATGCAATTTTGTTTCGAATTTGTTGACAAATTTTTATAGTCCTTTAGCTGTATACATGAAGGCTAAAAAGTTCGCTTTTGGTGGTTGCAGATCCTAGAGAAGGAGGTGTTATGGACCTTGAAGTTGATGGAGGACAGTTCCACGAGGTGATCGTTCTCAAATTAACCTCTATTGCATTCTATGCTTTTTTTACTTTAGCAACTATTCTGTTCAGTATTTCTCGGAGAGTAGCATTAGATTGGCCAGTATGTCTGGTTACCTGTTGCACCTTCTGCTTTGTACAAAACATTTATTTTTAGCTTCCATTCAAATAATACAAATGAAAATGGGTCCGAGAGATGTCTGGTGCATCATGCAACCAAAATTAACCTGTGGCCTTAAAGTGATAAGAGGAAATATTTCCTACAACATTTTTCAGTGTTATTTAGCTGCTCCTATGTTTGTGCATAATGGGCTAATGACTGCGTTGATGTCTTATTTAACTGCTCCCGTGTTCACCTCTACTTATATGATTTCCCCCCAATACTGCAGTGTTGGCTAGATTATCCCATTTAATAGACTTGTGGCTGGGGAAAACTATGGACCCTGCGGTTCAGATGGTCTTGTAAGAAATACACTTGCGGCTGACATTATGTGTGGTGGGAAAACAATGAATCTTCCTGCGATTCAGCGACTGGCTTCTATTTTTTGGTCATTTTTCCTTGGTTTGTGATTGCGTTCTGTGCTATATTTTTGTGGCGATCTTTTTATATACTGTTTGGGTTGCCAGATAAAATAATTTGTTATCTCAGCATTATTTCATTTCTCAAACAAAATCGTAAAGATGTTATCACGCGCGCATGGGCGCGCGCAAATTACTAGTATAATACAAGTTGGCAAATTAAATAACGAACCTCGCTCGTCCGGTCCGGACAGCCACACATGCATGAACATAACTGTATTAAGGTTAATTATACTACGATGCAAATGTGCAACGACTACAAATTAAAGTGGCAAGTGGATCGACCAAACTGCCATCTCGATTGATCCGGCCGCATGGACGAGGAGGAGGAATTCCTGTCTCCCTCACTTTTTTCTTGCTGACTACAAATTCCGTGCTGAAAATAAGAGTGATGTGCCGTGGTTTTCTAAGTTTTTCTTGTAATTTCAATATATGAAAAGTTCCGATGAAGTAGACGTGGACACCGGCCATGGATTCACAGTATCCAAGGCATAGAAAAACTACCGCGTTGGACTTGGATGCATGCGTGTGAACACTTGTCCTACAACAGATGCCCAAGGCCACTTCAAAAAAAAAAGTCATCACTGAATTTTTTCCCGAAATAAAAGTGAAATGCACCATATATAGGTCCTAAAATGTTCCATATAGTTTTTATCTGGGTTCATAAATTCTTCAAATGATTATTTGGGGCCTTTATTTTTTTTTCAAGTAGTTCATTTGAAGTGCGAATTCAAGTTGAATGAACTATTTGAAAAGTTAAAGGGTTCAAATGATCATCACCTTGAGAGTTCATAGACCCTGGTGAGAGTTTGGAAAAAGCCTAAGGAGTAAGGACCCTAGTTATTAGGATCGGACCGGACCGGCGGTTCGACCGCTAAAAGATCGAACCAGAGCCTAGACAGATCCGGTTCACTTAAAAGACCGTTTATACAATTGAACCGCTAAAAACCGGTTGAATCAGCCGGTTTTTTATGAAACCGGTGAACCGGCCGGTTTCTTATGAACCGTCCGGGTCCGTGCTAATAGCGTACGTGCATGCTGCTACAGCGTGGTCCTAGCTGGTGCCGTGTGGAGACGTGGAGTGCCGAGTGCGTGCGCCTGCCACCGCTGGGCTCCTGCTTTGGAATTTGAATGTTGCATGCGTGGTGCACTGCTTCAGGCTCGGTTGACTTTTAAATTGCATAACTTCATAACTTTTTCAAATGAGCTCTAAATAAGATAAATAATATATCTATTTTGATTATCTTAACGAGTTCTTCGCGATGGTGCACTTTATTTTACCTTTCAAGATTATTTTGCAACAACGAATATTTAAATTACTATTCTAGTCATTTTTGTACAAATTATATTGTATGTTTTCATACACATTTTTTTATATGTTGTGAATCAAATCTAGAGCACCAATTAGTGAGAAGCAGGTTATATAATTGTGTTTTTTATCATCTTATTTGTATACGTGATCAACTATATGTTACTAATTATCTAGTATTATATATTATTATATTGCACCGGTTCAAAGTAATTCTGGGCGGTTCAATTCATCCGGTCCAAAACTATCGAACTGACGGTTCAACCGGTTATTAACGGTTGGAGCAGTGAACCGATAGCCTCACCGGTTCGATGTCCGGTCCGATCCTAATAACTATGGTAAGGACCCGTTTCACTCTGGAAATATCATGCGATCCATCGCCACGGATGGATCCAAGAGAGGTTCGTTGTAAAGAAGAGTAAAGCTTAGTTAGGTAAGATATACACGGTGTCTTTTAGCTAGGTAAGCCCATTCTCTGTCCCTCTCTTTTCCACCGGTTGGCCATTTTCTTTCTCGCTGCGCAGCCAAACCAAATTGACCGTAGACTCATCCGGGTCGCTCCCCGGCCGTGACTCCACCACCAGTTTTTCTTCACTCGAAACCAGCACGTGCGTTCTCTCCCCATCGATCCATCCATCTCCTTCAATTCCTTCTTCATGGCCCGAACACACCCAACAAACATATTCTAAGCTGGTATTAAAACCGGCTGATAAGTCGACTGGAAGCTGTTTTTTTATAAGAGAAAAATACTGTAGATTCTAACTGATAAGCCGGCTAATAAGTTCAAGCGAACACAGGCCCACAGCTTTTGGCCTTTTAGCATCTTCGTCCATTCCTAGCTAAGCTAAGCTAGCAAGCTATCTCCATCTATATATACGCATCCAGACCACGGGCCCTCCATATATCCATCATCTCTCACTCTACAGCTTTGGTATAGCTGCTAGTACTACTACTATAGTAGTCGACTAGATCGTCTCGTATGAACTTAATCGGCTTCTTCATTCGTAGAACAAGCAAGTAACTAATAACAGCTGGCCGGCTTGTTAAAGAAGCAGCGACGCCCAGCTAGCTGAGACATGGATAGCGGCAGCTGGCTCCATGGCTACGCCACCACCAACGCCGGCGACGGCTTCATGTGCGGCTACGGTGCCAGCAGGTATGGTTTTCTTGGCTCAAGGTAGTTGAGTGCTCTTGCTCTTAGCTTGTTTCTGGTAACTTGCTGATCTGACTGATCATTCTGCACGCACGCATGCACACAGCTGCAGCCCTGCAGACCTGCAGTTCATGGAGGGCGAGCAGCAGCAGTTTCCCATCAGCTCGCAGATTCAGCACCACCTCAACCAGGCAAGCTAGCGACAAATTTAATCATGAAATCACACTGCAAACTTCATACAGAGATTCAGGCAGACACATAAATGAAGGTTCTTAACTGCTTATCGATCAACATGCAGATCAGCATGCGCATGAACATGGACGACGAAGCAGCAGTCTACATGTCTTCCAACGACGGTGCCACCACCATCGGCATGCACGATCCTTTAGTGGAACGCCTCCTCGACGACCCGCACCACCACGCCGGCACCTACAGCTTCCCTTCGTCGTCCTCCTCCTCGCTCTCGCAGCCTGCCTCTACCTCCCTCTCCTGCAGCCCCGAGAGCTCCTCGGCGCACATCCTCGACGCGCCGGCAGCGGCCCGCGGCTACAACCAGCAGTACCCGGAGGTCTCGTCGCACGTGCCACTACTACCACCACCACCACCCGTGGTGCCATCTTACGACCACCAGTACACCAACCTTCACGCGCCGGAGTCGCCGGCCAAAACCACTGGTGCGTTCAAGCACTACGCGCGCCACCTTGGGCCGAAGAGGCCGCCGATGCCCGGCGCGTGTGGACAGAGGATGTTCAAGACGGCCATGTCGGTGCTGTCCAAGATGCACGTGGCGGAGAGGTACAGCCAGCAGCAGTACTACTACCAGGCGGCGGCGGCGGCTGCCGAGGCGGTGCAGCCGCCGTCGGTGAACCAGCTGCAGCACATGTTCTCGGAGCGCAAGCGGCGAGAGAAGCTCAACGATAGCTTCCACGCCCTCAAGGCCGTCCTTCCGCCTGGTTCCAAAGTACGTATACGATCGTGTGTGTATATGTCATGTCTGTGTGTCTGATCATACATGCATGCATGAGCTGCTTCTGACGAACGAGTTTCATTTGCTCCGTCGATCTTCTCTGTACGACATGCAGAAGGACAAGACGTCGATACTGATCAGGGCAAGGGAGTACGTGAGGTTGCTGGAGGCCAAGGTGGCCGAGGTCGAGGAGAAGAACAAGTCGCTCGAGTCGCGGCTGACCCGCCGGGACGGCCGCCGCAAGGACGGCAGCAGTGGCGGCGACGACCACGACTCCGGCGAGACGACGAAGGTGCAGGTCGAGATAACCAGGGCGGCGAACGAAGAACTCTGCATGCTGAAGATAGCGGTGAGGTCGCCGCGGCCGCCGTCGTCGCCTAACATGACGGACGTGGTGGTCCGGACACTGCAGTGCCTGAAAGAGCAGATCGGGGATGGCGTCAGCCTGGTGGCAATGAGCACCAGCGGCGGCGGCGCTGGGCTTGTTACCGGAGTGAAGAACGCCTCTCCACGAGCTGTTGTCCTGACGATGCAAATCAAGGTATACTCCACTATCCAATATCTGTCTCACATGACATGATGATCGATCGTCTTAAGTCATGCATGCATCATTAATTGACGATGGATGATTAAGTCTGACATACGTGCTAGTACTAGGTTAGTTATTACAGTTGTTAACAGTGGATGAATTATAACATTTTCATTTGGATGTGATAGATGAAGAACGAACTACAAGCTAGCAATGCATGCGAAAGTCGACTTATATGTATATATATATATATTACACTACTATATTTATCAGGAAGATTATTTAGTATCTGCTATGTACCAAAGTAAACCATGCATGCATGCAAGGCAACGTGTGAAAATGAAGAAGACTTAAGGTAGAAAACTATGGCTAGCTAGGTACGCAGTAGTAGTACAGCAAGAAGGTAGGAGTTGTCGTGCACCAGGTCGATAAGAAATTACTGACTGACTAACTGCATGGCGCCGGCGGCGTATCTGAATTCTGACAGCGACACTACCTGTGATCGTGAAAAGCTATTAATTTCGTTGTGTACTTGGTGAAAAGACTAACGGTGTCTCTCTCTCTCTTGTCGCTGTCGCTGGTGTCGCAGTCGCCGGGAACCGACTGGGAGGAGCAGCCGGTCAAGGACGCCGTGGCGAAGGTCGTCGCCGAAGCGCTGACGACGACGAAGCCACTGCCACCCGCGGCGGCCACCACCGCCAGCTGCGGCTTCGGCGAGGCTTCTCAACTCATCATCAGCCAATAATTAACAATCCGGCCGGTAGCAGACGCCGTTCGTGCGTGCAGGTGCAGTGCAGGGAGACACGCACGCCGCCGCTAACCGAGAAGGAACCAGGACTGGACGACACGCCCCCGCCAGTGGATCCTGACACCTACGACCAACAACCCACCATTGTTAGCAGGTCACAGGTCAAAGCCGCGCGCGCGCGAATGGATCAGACACGGACACCTTTGGCAGCAGATGCAGAGACAGCGTCATCATGCAGGACTACTTGGCAGCAGGAGAAAGAAGAAGTGTCAACCGAGGACCATATTCTTCTTCCATGACGAATGGCAGATGTTGACGGCCGGGACGATGATGATGCAGACGACGACGAATGATTATTAGTTACTTGATCCTTATGCATGTTTCTGTTTCAAATTATAAGACATTTTGAATTTTTTAGTATTTAGATGTATATTATGTCTAGATAATAGTAAAACCAATGTATATGTAAATGTCAAAACATCTTATAATTTAGAACGGAGATATTACTGATGATCCATGGAAAAGTACACAAGACCCTGTACAGTAATACGTACTAGCAGTAAGCAGCTGTATCTAGGAGTAACTATATAATAACTTGTGTGAACAATGGGCTTGTGTCAACTGTCAACCTTAAAGCTTTCAGTCGTTTCTTTAGCTGTTTATTAATCTGGACTTCTCTGATTGTATATTAGAGCCAGGGAGTACTTTGAGTGTGACTGTATGTCTAATCTATTAGTCTCGCCATACGTGCATGTATAGCTTAATCAATGAGTAGTCTCTCCCTCCCTGTCCTAGTCCAAGCTAGCTAGCTAGAGATATCCATACAAGTCTTGTTAGTATTGCAAACACGAATCGAGAAAATGCATGTTTTTTTCTCGATCACGTAAATAGTTTGTGTGTCTTTATATTAAGATAGAGAAAAAGTTTAATACAACCAGCCTTGATAACGCCCTAGGGGTCAGAAGAGATTACATGGACGCTTGGACCCTCCATAGTGTACACGAATCGACAAAATGCATGTTGATATTCAGAATTACCCATTAAAGGGCTCACATGGGTGTGCATCTTGTTATATGACTGTTGTCCATGTCAGAACGTAATATATTTTTACAAAATTTTACTAGCTCAGCATATTACGCTTAAGAACCACCGTTGATAATCCATACTCCCTCCGTCCCATAATAGAAATCGTTATGGGATGAGTGTAGGTCAAACTTTCTCAGCTTTGACTAGGTTTGTAGAAAATACGTGCTACATTTATATTTCCAAATAAATTTGTTATGAAAGTATATTCAACGATCTATCTAATGATACTAATTATGTATTATAAATATTAATATTCTTTTATATATAATTGGTCAAAGTTACAAAAGTTGACTTCTCGAGAAGCGGGAACGACTTCTATTTTGGGACAAAGCGAGTACGCACGATTCAACGGAATGCACTGATTGTTGCTCGTTCAGCTGGACGATTTGCAATTTAAGATTTATTCAAGGATCGTCATCATCATCTGTTCTAATTCATTTTAGAACAAACCATGTCCGTCGCTTGACGGGCTTATAGAATCGGACTTCATATCATGGTTGGACGCTTGTTGTTCTAACTCGTATGAACACAAGCCATGAGCCCACATCACATACGTGACATGAAAGCATGAGGGCATTATGGGAAGTAAAAAAAGATAGGAGGAAAAATATTTGATCCCATCTATCTTTAATATTAGACTAGCAAACATGCCCTTGAGTTGCAACAAAACATACACTTCATTATCCGGTCACCTGAACAACTTGGAACTCAAAGATTTATATAATGGTCACGTCATCTAACTTTGTATTGTAACCGGACCCATTGTTCTAACTCGTACGAGCATGAGTTGTGAGTTTGAGTCACATACATAATAAGGAGGAGGCACGAGGGCATTGTAGGAAGTATAAAAACAAATTCCTTCATCTTTAATATTATGTATATAGACTATTGCTAATCGGACCATGTTAATCCTCACAAAACATGTTAGAAAAAATTATAGAAACTCTCACAAAAATAAGAAAGAGTTGGCCATCAATTTGGTATGCTCTAATCACCACCAATAATAATAGATATTTGGATCTATCCTATTTTTTCTCAAATTATCCATATATGCTATTATAAAAAAACAACATAAAGTAACCCCTAAATCCGCATCAAATTACCCATTATGAAATATCCTCTAAACTCTAAAGTAACCCATAAATTTGAACTTAAATTACCCACCATGCCAATATGATAGATAATCTAAGTAACCACTTATAAATTACCACTTCTACTATTATTAAGAATAAACTAAAATATTCCCTAAATTTACATCTAAATTACAAACACTCGCTAAAATAGAAATGTTTAAATAACCTAATTTACACCTATTAAGAGCACAATTTACTGATTAAAATCTTTTAATATTAATGAAATACAAAAGGTAATTTAAAATAAAGTGTAATATAAGCTCAAGTGTTTCGATTTAACTTGTGGATCAAATTTGTAGCAACTAATACGACCTGATTTTTCGATTTCAAAATCTAGATTTATGACGTTAAGAGACATGGGCTACAACAAGCACCACCATAACTTAATAAGCTAAGGTTTTCACTTAACGCGTATTATTTAAGATACATGAAGGTGCAGTCATGAAGAGAGAGAAAAACTATGAATATGGATGGAGGATGATACATAGTAGTTGATAATTAAGTTATCATGATTGAATAGAGATTATAGAGTATTCGTGTGCATATTATTACGTTTCAAAATGAACAAAAAAAGAAAGGACAAGAACAACTAATTTATTTTAGTTGTAGGTATTAAACATGAACTTTTAATGCTTATCTCTCTTGGGATTGTAGCCGTGTGTAGAAAAGCTAGTATTTTTATAAATTTTCATTTGCACAACTTGCTATTTTTGTAAACGTATACACATAAGTACTATTTATGCACTACATTTTAAGTTTAATAGAAACCTTATGAAAACACAACTTACACCACACTAATGTCTTTTATGATAAATTCTAGAGAAGACAACATAAACAAGAAGACACGACAGAAAAGATGAAAAAGAGAAGCTTTCCTTTTTTTAAGAAAATTCTAGAGAAGACAATATAAATATACCTAAATATAAATATATAATAATTAAACAAGAGGACACTGACAGAAAATTTGTGAAAAAGAGAGGAGACGCATGCCATGGCGCCAGCACCAGCGCCTAGTTAATAAGTAGCTAGTAGATAGCGTGCGTGCGTGCCATACAGCCATAGTCAAACAGGAAATTTAACGTTGCTGCTGGCTGCTGCATACATTAGTCACCGATGCAAGTACACGTAGCAAGAACGATGATCCCGTGGACAGCACAGGAGCTGAGTGCCCTCTCACGCTGTCTGATTCAGATCATATCACAGTTGCGACTTGCGAGTCGCCGTTGAAGATTGAACAGCCAGCGTAACGGCTTTAGCTTAGGAGGGCCGTCGTCAGCTCGCACCGCCGGTCCACCACCTCGTCGCTCAAGTCAAGATCCGTTGTGGACAACAAGGAAGATCCCACCTCGTCGCTCAAGTCAAGATCCGTATAGGACAACATGGAAGATCCCACCGCGATGTTTCGTCGATGCTAACCTTTTGCTTGGATGATCCGTTTGACTTCGGTTGTGGGAGGACCTCGATCGCCTCATCATGTTGGCTGCTTAATTAGTTTGATGCTCTTTGATATTAAAAGAAAAGGAAATTCTTGCTTACTTGCCTGACAAAACTAGATAGCCATGAATTTATATCTATATATACCTCTCTATCTATTTTGTTTTATCTATATTTATATCTATATCTATTTAATATTAAATAGCGAAGTTATTTTTTCATCCATCTTTTACTTCTCCAAAATGTCCTCGCATGTCTCCTCTGATTCGTATCTGACCCATACATACAATGTTGAAGTGGACCGTGACGCCTAAGAGGAGGGAGGGGGTGAATTAGGCAACTTAAAAATCTAACTCTAAACTATGATATCTTTTTCTACCCTTAGTAAAATCTATGCAAAAGATAAACTATCTAAATATGCAACTACGGTTTTGCTAATGTGTTGCTATCTCTACCGCAAAAGGAGTACTGTAAACAATGTAAATGCGGAAACTAAACAGCAAGGTAGAGATATGCAAACTCCCGTCGACGACTCCGGTATTTTTACCGAGGTATCGAGAAGCGCGCAAACTTCTTCCTAGTCCTCGTTGGAGCTCCTCGCAAGGAATCCCTCGCAAGGGCCAAGCTCCCGGTTGGTAACTCCGTGGATAGCCTCGGGCCTTCCCCACGCGCAAGTGGGTCTCCGACGTGCCTTCCGGCAAGCCTCTCCCGGATGCTCCCAGCCGTCTTCACTATCAAGCTTCTGGCCGAAACGCCGCGGGCCTTGTTCCCTTCGGTACACGGTGGCGGCCATACCACAAACGCGGTTGGTGTGATCTCGTAAAACTACAAGCCCCTCCGATGTACAACAATGGTGCGCGCAAGCACCGAGTGGTAAGAGGTACGCAAACCTCACTAAACACTAGGTCTAAACCTAAAGTAAGCGCATAAGCGGTGGTCTAATCAACCTAAGTACTTCGCAAAGCACCTACGCTAATCACCTAATGAATCACTAAGCACTATGCAAGTGGAGATCACTAAAATGGTGTATCAACACCCTTGATATATTTCGTCAGCTCCACACACACCAAATGGCCGGTTGAGGGTTGTATTTATAAGCCCCACTGAGAAAGTAGACGTTGGGGACGAAATCTCGCTTTTCTGCTACTGACCGGACGCTGGAGTCGTCCTGATCGGACGCGTCCGGTCGTCCCGACCGTTGGAGCCGCGAACAACTGATCGGACGCTGCCAGCGTCCGGTCACTTGCCACCGGACGCGTCTGGTCGCAAGTTCGCCGCTCTGGAACCTCTCTGTACTCGATCGGACGCTGCTGTCCTACGTCTGGTCGGTTTGCCGCCGGTGTCCGGTCCAGCGTCCGGTCGCTACAGCTGTTGCCGAGCCTCTGATCGGGGCGTCCGGTCGCTACAGTGAGCTCGTTTCTTCACGATCTTGCGTGCGGCTTGGTTCCTATCTTCATGCTTGGACTTTGCTTGATATCTTGGGTCTTCTCTTGTGCATCTAAGATCTTGCTTGAGGTGTTGATCATCGGATCATCACGTCGCCTTTGTCCAAGTCACGCCTTGCATCCTATTGAACAACAAAACAATCACTTACAAATTCATTGGTCCAATTTGGTTGTGTTGGTCATCAAGCACCAAAATCCAAA